TGAGACTAAATCAAGAGTCGGGTCCTCTACCAACTGAGCCAACCAGGCACCCACCCACCAAAGAATCTATTCTTAAGAGCATCCTGGGCGCCTGGGTGGCTCAGTCGGTTAAACGGCTGCCTTCGGCTCAGGTCGTGATCCCAGGGTCCCAGGATGGAGCCCCGCATCGGGCTCCCTGCTCAGCGCGGAGCCTGCTTCGCCCTCTCCCTCTGCCTGCCTCTCTGCCTACTTGTTCTCTCTCTCTCTCTGTCAAATAAATAAAATATTAAAAAAAAAAAAAAAAAAAGAGCATCCAGACAGATCCTTTAAAAAATTCAAGGATCATCACGTCCCTCCTCTGCTCAAAGCCCTGCCAAAGGGGTGCCTGGGTGACTCAGTCGGTGAAGCATCTAATTCTTGATTTTGGCTCAGATACTGATCTCAGGGTTATGAGATCCAGCCTCACATCGGGCTCCGTGCTGGGTGTGGAATCTTGAGAGTCTCTCTTCCCTCTCCCTCTGCCCCTACCTGCCTCTGCGTATGTGTACACACACTCTAAATAAATAAAATCTTTAAAACAAAATCAAAACAAAACCCTGCAAAAGCTCCCCATTTCACTAAGAATAAAAACCCAAGTCTTGGCAAGGACCTACAACATCTGCTCCCCATTTCCTTATGGGCATCATCTCATTTTCTGCTATTCTCCCCTCACTCCAGCCACGTTGGCCTTCTCCCTGCTCTTTCATCATGCCATGCATGCTCACCTCTTAGGACCTTTCCCCTGGCTATTTCCTCTGCCTTCAATGCTTCCCTCACATACCCTGTAGCTAACACATTACCAAGGCTAACTCCAGCACCCCCTTCAAGTCCATGCTCAAACGTCACCTTCTCAAAAAGGCCAAACCTTTCTTTCTATTCTTTTTAAAACTGCAATCTAGGGGTGACTGGGTGGCTCAGTTGGTTAAGCATAGACTCTTGATTTCAGCTCAGGTCATGATCTCAGGGTCATGAGATCAAGCCCTGTGTTGGGTTCCACGCTCAGTAAGGAGTCTGCTTAAGAGTCTCTCTCTCCAGGGTTCCTGGGTGGCTCAGTCCGTTAAGCGTCTGCCTTCAGGTTAGGTCATGATCCCAGGGTTCTGGGATCGAGCCCTACATCAGGCTCTCTGCTCAGCGGGGAGCCTGCTTCTCCTTCTCCCTCTGCCTGGCCCCTCCCTCTCTCTGTGTCAAATAAATAAATAAATCTTAAAAAAAAAAATTCTCTCTCTTCCTTTCCCTCTGCTCCTCCCCATTGCTTGCTCATGTGTTCTCTCTCTCAAATAAATAAATCTTAAAAAATAAAATTGCAATCTATCCTTCCAGTCCCTGAGACTCCCAATCCCCCTTACTTTGTTCTATTTTTTCTATAGCATTATCACCTTCTAGATACTTTACTATTCATTATGTTAACTGTCTACTGTATCTCTCCCAATGAAACTGTAAGTTCCAAAAGGACAGAGCTTCATGTCTGTTTTGTTCTCTGATGCATATTAAGCTACTAGAGCTGAACTTGGCACATAAAAGGTATCAAATAATTATCTATTTTATGAATAAAATCTTTAATTCTTAGAGTCATTCTAGGCTTTTTCTAACTTTGTTACCCCAGGATCCCAAAGACCTAAAGGTTAGGGGAGTGGAGGTGAGAAGGGAAGGACAAAATGCAGATGATGGTAACCACCCTGAAGAGTAAACTCTAAGGGTAAGATCTACATCCCATTCATCTTAGTACCCCTTAATCCCTTGTACACAGATAGACACTTAATAAATTATCTGTGGATGCATAATAAATAAATAGTACAGAGAACTCTGCCTGGCATATAAAAACGTTTGGAAAATGAATGAATAGAAAATGACAAGTAACATAACAGAGGTATAAAAAAGGGAAAATACTATGTTAGGACTTCGTTTTCTGGGAGACCTGCCTTTCAAACTAACTTCCTGACTCTATCTACCAACAACAGCAATGATTGAAGTGGGAGGAGGAGGAGGCTGAGGACGGATGAGAGAAGGAAAGGAAGTTGAAGAAGAGAGGCACAGTCAAGTGTGAGCTTTTAAAGTTTTTAACTGTGATCCATAATCAGTAACACTTTTTACCGAATGACTAAGAATACATACTACCTACATATACACACACTCACAACTACATTTGTATTCATTTATATGTGAAACCAATATTGACAATCTGCAATACTCCCTACTATTTTCTATTTCATTCCATTAGAAATAAAACAACAAAATTCTGGCTGCTACCTTCTAACTCAATTTCACAATCCACAAAATTGATTTCATGACTCACCAATGAGTCTTGACATGCAGTTTGAAAAACACTACAGAAGCACTTTTTCACTTTGATCTTTTGCCCCACTGCAAAGAATATCATTCTCCAGAAAATCTTAGAAGAACTGTGTCTGCTACAGAAACATAAGGAAAAATGAAGAAGCAATAAAACATGGTTCCGATCCCACAGTGGGCCATGGAAGAAAGGAATCTTGGTCAAATAGCAGAAGAAAGGAATTTTTAAAAATTGATTCTTTGAGGGGCGCTTGGGTGGCTCAGTCGTTAAGTGTCTGCCTTCGGCTCAGGGCATGATCCCAGGATCCTGGGATCAAGCCCCGCATCAGGCTCCCTCCTCCTCGGGAAGCCTGCTTCTTCCTCTCCCACTCCCCCTGCTTGTGTTCCCTCTCTTGCTGTGTCTGTCTCTGTCAAATAAATAAATAAAATTAAAAAAAAAAAAAATTGATCCTTTGAGCCCTTAGAAGAAAACAAAGGTGGTGACTACAGAGGTGGGTGCAACAGCTAAATTCTCCTAAAAGTTCCATTAGCAACATGCCCCTGTGCTCCATACATTCTCACCCATAGCATCCCGTTTCCCCCACATCAATACCATAGGTCATTGGCCCTTTCACTTCTGCTTGGAGCAGATAAAATCCCTTCACCCAGTAGACAGCAGATGGGAACAAAGATAAAAAGAAATCCCTCAAATGTCCCTGAACTAGAACTCTGGGTTAGTTTCACACTCTTGTATGTGGCATTTCAGTTCAAGAGTACCCCTAGGGCTATAATACTTTGCAAAAATGCTGGATTAAATGTGTTTTCATGGCCAACTCTTACCAACCTCGTCATCCATTAGGTGTAAAGGCTAACGAAGTATCACAGTGCCCTGCATGATGTCTCCACATAATAACTGTCCAATAGATATTTGTCGACCAATAAATGAACAAAATAATTCCAGAAAGAAGAATAGGAATAAACAATAGAAAGGTCCTTAGACAATAAAGAAACATGTTAAAAGACACAACGGGGAGAAATCAGGAAAATCCAGAATGTTGGAAACTCTATAAATGGCCTGGTTTATCGGAGCGCCTGGGTGGCTCAGTCGTTAAGCGTCCGCCTTCAGCTCAGGTCATGATCCCAGGGTCCTGGGATCGAGCCCCACATCGGGCTCCCTGCTCGGCGGGAAGCCTGCTTCTCCCTCTCCCACTCCCCCTGCTTGTGTTCCCTCTCTTGCTGTGTCTTTCTCTGTCAAATAAATAAAATCTTTAAAAAAAAAAAAAAAGACCTCGTTTTTCAAGAAATCAGTGGCAAGGAAAAAAAAAATTAAAATTGTTAACTACTATACATGAAAAACATACCACACAAATATAATGTGTGAAACTTGTTTATATCCTGATTTGAATAAACCAACTGCGGAGAAAGTATTTGAGACACATGGAAAGAGCTAGAGAGTATAATGCTTAGCAAAATAAGTCAGTCAAAGAAAGACAAATACCATATGATCTCACTCATATGTGGAATTTAAGAAACAAAACAAATGAGCAAAAGAATGAAAAAAAAGAGACAAACCAAGAAACAGATTCTTATTTGACAGAGAGTGAGAGGGAGAGAGCACAAGCAGGGGGAGGGGAAGAGGGAGAGGGAGAAGCAGGCTCCCTGCTGAGCTCGATCCCAGGACCCTGAGATCATGATCCAAGCCAAAGGCAGAGGCTTAACCGACTGAGCCACCCAGGCACCCAAGAAACAGACTCTTGAGTACAGAGAACAAACTGACAGTTACTAAAGGGGAGGTGGGTGGAGGGATGGGTGAAATCGGTGAAGGGGATTAAGTGTACACTTATCTGGATGAGCACTGAGTAACGTAGAGAATTGTTTAGTCACTGTATTGTACACCTGAAATTAATACAGCAATGAATGTTAACTATCCTGGAATTAAAATAAAAAATTTAATTTAAATAAAAAAGGTAGGTAGTTGTCTATAATTTTAATATCCAGAAGCACTTTTTTTTTTTTTAAAAGATTTTATTTATTTATTTGAGAGAGAGAGAATGAGAGACAGAGAGCATGAGAGGGAGGAGGGTCAGAGGGAGAAGCAGACTCCCCGATGAGCAGGGAGCCCGATGCAGGACTCGATCCTGGGACTCCAGGATCATGACCTGAGCCGAAGGCAGTCGCTTAACCAACTGAGCCACCCAGGGGCCCATCCAGAAGCACTTCTATACCCTAGCCCCAAACAGAAAATATAATTTTTAAAAAACATACCATCTAGTATTGTGGCTGCCCCAAGATGAGACTATTAGAATACTTTTCCTTCCCCAATCTTCCCATTCTCATATAAGCCCTTCAGAATTCAATTACTTCCATATTTCACCCTTCCCCAACTTCTAAGTTTTAAAAAGAGAGTTAAGGGGTGCCTGGGTGTTACAGTCGGTTGAATGTCTGATTCTTGATTTTGGCTCAGGTCACGATCTCAGGGTCATGAGATCAAGCCCCAAGTCTCTCTCTCTCCTGCTCCCTCTCCCTCTGCCCCCCAATCACCCCTGCCCGCTCGTGCAGGCTGGCTCTCATGCGCATGCTCGCCCTCTCTCTTAAAAAAAAAAAAGTTTAACTTGTTTCCCACCTCAACTTACCTACCCAAGATGTATCTCAAAAGTGTCAAGGACAATAAATGAGAATCCAATAACTGGATTTTTTTTTTTTTAAATACATACCTGTTTTAGGCCATAATGCATTGACTGCAATTTCACCCTTAAATTCTTCTGCCATTCCAAGCACACACATAGACATACCATATTTAGCAATGGTATAAGCTGAAAGAAACCACAAAGAATAGTGCTTAATTAACAAACAACTTTGTGAGTATAAATAACCACTTTCTATGGCTATACTGCTAGTAAAACAAGAACAAAAAGTTGGAGATTTGCTAACCTAGTCAATTAAAACAGAACTTCCTTCGGTTTTGCCCTGTGGCTTTCTATTCTAATTACCCGTCCAAATTTTAGTGAATTATGTACAAAGGAGGAGTAAGTACCTGATGTAACTATTTTAAAGGAGGTACCTCTACATAAATCTTGTAATTTAATGCATACTCACCTCAAATCTTAGTTCGCTGTGAAAGGAAAAGTACTTCATAGTTTCTAACCAACTTCACTGAAGACTAAGTTATATACAATAAAACACACCCATTAAGACTTGAGGGAGCTTTCTGGAATGATGGAAATCCATATCTTGATTTGGCTATTGGTTATACAGATGTATACATTTGTCAAAACTCTTCAAACTGAACCATTAAGATCGTGCATTTTACTGAATGTAAATTATACCTCAATGTTTTAAATTACAGATAAAAGTTTAAGAATCTAGTTTCCAAAGTGCTATTGATTCTACATAGAAAATTTAATGTTGAATATTATGTAAAAATTGTGATTACACCATAGGAACACTGATTTAATACAAAACAAATTAACCAAACAAACCATTCCCTCAACCTACCACCTACCACAGTGCTGTTTGAACCACAATGGATTTAGGTTCAGTGGTGGGCTGAGATTGAGGATATGAGCAATTTTACTCTTTTTCAAATAAGGAATACATGCTTTAGATCTGAAAGCAAAAGAAAACACATCAAGTTAATAGCTTTCTAACAACTTCCCCACTTCTCAAAATTATTATTTTTTTATTTTTAAAGATTTTATTTATTTGAGAGAGAGAGAACGTGCACGAGAGCAGAGGGGCAGAGGGAGAAAGAGAATCTCAAGCAGACTCTCTGCTGAGCACAGAGCCTGATGCAGGGCTCGATCTTACAATCGTGAGATCATGACCTGAGCCAAAATCAAGAGTTGGACGCTTAACCCAGTGAGCCACCCAGGTGTCCCTAAAATTATATTTTAAAGTACTTTTACAAAGCAACTAAACTTGGTCAGAAATATGTAGGGTACTTTTGTTTGTGTTTACTTTTTTAAAATGAAGGTAGGAAAAGCAATTAATTTTCATTTTTTGAAACTTTGCTTAACAGCCTGACAAAATGATCTGCTTGATGAAAATATCAAATCCTTGGCACATTAGCCTTAAATCCAACCAAGCTATCCTCAACTACATCCTTTCAATTCTTCCCACCCAACACACACACACACACACACACACACACACACACACATAATTTTCAGCAAGTTAATGTCCTTGCCAGGTAGCACTACACTACGGTAAAGAACATGGTGCTCAAGCCAGACAGACCGGGGTTCAAATCCTTTTTCTTCCCCTTCATTGTGTGATCTTAGGCAAAATATATTCTCAGGTTTCTCATTTGTAAGTATTGGTAATACCTGCTACCATCTAGGACTGACCCAGGGATTAAAATGAGATGATAAATATGCAACACTTTGAACAGTGCATATGTCAAACATGAAATAAACAACCACTATTATTAGTATTATGTATGCTGATTTATTTCATCTTAGTAGGTGTGGTGGTATTCCTACTATGCTGGAACTGTAATTTAATAACACAACTCCCAATACATTCCCAAATTTAATTTGCACCAATATGCAATGCAGTATGCCTTTGAGAGGAATATTTAGTTTTTATATGTTTTTTTAAAAACTGTCCAAAAAGGTAGGCAATTCATTTTTTTTAAAACTCAGGTTCAATATTTTTAATTTATTAATGATTAAGCTACACTGTGTTATTAAGCTATAACATACACGTAGCTTAAAGCTGTATAGCTTTTAGTTTTATTTTACATTCAATAATTTCTAGGACTTTGAATTAGTTAATTATTGTCAGTTTTTTTTATTAACTAATGTACGACATTCTTATTACCATCTGCAACGTCTTTTCGGGTCTAGAAACCAAATATAATCAATATCACTAAAGGGTTTTATACATATTGTTTTTCCTTTCCAAAAGTGCTTCACTTTCATGGGGGTGAGTTGGGGAGGGGCAAACAATATTACAGCTGATATTCATTAAAACAATGAAGCTGCACCTCAAAATCTGAACAGGAAAAACCAAATCTATTCCAGGCAATAAGACCATGACTACATTTTACATCCAAGAAAAGAGCTTATTTCATTTACATTATAAACATGATCTATTAGATAAAACCTTTCCACCTGCACTTTGCCTGCCTGGCCCTCAGCTTTACTAATCCCAAGTCAGCTGCATTTTTAACAGCAACATGTTCAATCTTCTATGTTAAAGACTATTAGCACCACACTTAAATACTAATACTTCCAGCTTAATAAAATAGTTAAGCTTACTGAAAACTTACTGTGTGCTAGGCACTGCCCTTATTACTCTTACATGAATTATGTTATTTAATTAGGGTTACAAGCTCAAATGCCCCATAGGCATTTGAGCAAATGAATAAAGTGAGCTGTGTATAGGAAAGAAAAATTAACTGTTCAGAAATGCAATTAAACTTTACTACTGAATTTCTATAAGCATTACACTGGAGATTACATATTTAAAACTTTTATTAAAAATACAAATTAAGGGGGCGCCTGGGTGGCTCAGTTGGTTAAGCGACTGCCTTCGGCTCAGGTCATGATCCTGGAGTCCCAGGATCGAGTCCCACATTGGGCTCCCTGCTCAGCAGGGAGTCTGCTTCTCCCTCTGACCCTCCCCCCTCTCATGCTCTTTCTATCTCATTCTCCCTCTCAAATAAATAAATAAAAATTTTAAATAAAATAAAAATACAAATTAAGGATTTGCCTTCTACCTCATCTCTGCCTTCCAACCCTATTTCTGTAAACCTGTGATACAAGTCACAGGCCATGGGGCCCTGGGTGCCAGGGATCAGGAAACAGCTCTAGATCCTTGCTGAAACCTCCAAACAGGTCAGTTCTTTGGGCCTTGTCCCCACTCTCTCCCTGACGATATTTCTCAGACTTGCCTGAGGAAACAATCTATACTTTCCTTCCATGAATAAATGAGCATCACTAAATAAAAAACAAAATTAAAATTAAAATGGAAATGTTTCATTATCAATTTTCTCTTTTATAACTTATAACTTCCACAGAGGGCCAAAAACCTGACACCTTTTCTTTGGCCCAAAGGTCAATATCGGGTCTTTCATTTGGCATTGCAATATGGCTTTAACTGGGAAAAATATTTAGTATTGTTTTAAAAATAGCTGTCCCCCCCAAAAAAATAAAAAAAATAAATAGCTGTTCCAGGGGCACCTAGCTGGCTCAGTCAGTAGAGCATGTGACTCTTGATCTCAGGGTCATGAGTCCAAGCCCCACGTTGGGCATGGAGCCTACTTTAAAAAAGTAAATAAAATAAAGTAAAATAAAATAATACCTGTCCCTAAATGTAGGAACTTTCAAAAATGAATAGAATCTTTGCTTTAAAAAAGGGTTTTTATTTTAGTGTATCTCTTCCTGAGATATTTGTAGATCTGCTATTCTAATGTACTCATATTTAGTTTTTAGTACATTAGTGCTCTATGGCTCATATGTTCCATCTGTAGTTCTCCAACTACACAAGTAGTATTCATTGAGAAAGGTACCTGAACAAGGTTAGTTCATTTTCTCAGTTTGAAATCAGGTTTTTGCTTTGTTTTGAACTGAACCTTCAAATCTATAATTGCAGGAACATAGTTTAAGCCATCAGTTTCATTTTTGGAAAATGATCATGGTATAGGAAAGGGGCCAGGTTGTTCTTGCCCAATGGGTTTTCCAAAGACATAATTTCACAAGGAATGAGCAATGAGAGTCAGACATTTGTGTTTACGTTAGTCATGATGTCGACTAATAAAGTCAAGTCTTTGATCCAGTCTTTGTATGGGAATTGAGCTGGGAACTCTCTCATGGGTGGCAAAAAACAGCTGATTTCTTTCCAATTAAAACCAAAATCTCGGGGCCCCTGGGTGGCTTAGTCGGTTAAGCGTCTGCCTTCGGCTCAGGTCATGATCTCGGGGTTCAGGGATCGAGCCCCGCATTGGGCTCCCTGCTCAGTGGGGAGTCTGCTTCTCCCTCTCCCTCTGCCCCTATTCATTCTCTCTCTCTCTCTCACACACACACACACACACACTCACTCTCTCAAATAAATAAATAAAATCTTAAAAAACAAACAAAATCTCTTCAACAATACACCATAGCCACATAATCTTGTCACAGAGGAGACTATCATGTTTGTAGTCCACATTTGTAAAGCACATAACTGTGGTTTAAACCATAGAAGTGTGTTTAGTTCTTAAAGTTCGTAACACAGTGCATCTTTAACTTTTTAGCAAGAGCAACTCCTAATGAACAATACGATGAACAAAATTACTTTCTGCAACTCTGTGAAACATTTCTACATTAGTTTAATAAGTTTAAAGCTAACACTGACCATTCATTACAGCTTAAAGTTAACCCTGACCATTGCAACAGCACTGTCCGCAGTTACGGTTATTACGGTTTTGACAAATCTATATTAAACTTCCTAAGATGTTTCTCAACACTTAACAAGTCACTTTCATGTTCATGTCATGGGTACCAGTCTAAAAGGTTTTTTAATCACTTCAGAATTCTCCTGACACCTTAAGTAAATAAAACTTGGTGAGTAGAATATTTATATCCTTGGGCGCCTGGGTGGCTCAGTCGTTAAGCGTCTACCTTCGGCTCGGGTTATGATCCCAGAGTCCTGGGATCGAGCCCCACATCGGGCTCCCTGCTCGGTGGGAAGCCTGCTTCTCCCTCTCCCACTCCCCCTGCTTGTGTTCCTGCTCTCGCTGTCTCTGTCAAATAAATAAATAAAATCTTAAAAAAAAAAAAATCTTTAAAAAAAAAAAAAAGAATATTTATATCCTTGGCTTCATCACCTACCATTGAAGCTGCCACAAATGATTTAACTTTTCACAAATCGTGTCCTTCTAAGCCTTAATTCAACATGCGGAGCAACAGTATTCCTGCTTAGGTTTATATTTTTAAATGCTTGTTTAAATGAGTGTTTATATTTAATCAAAATTCTTTCACAAGTTACCATCTGTAAAAGATTTTGAGGCCCAGATAATTTCTTCATGTAACACATGACTGCAACACAGAGCAGCACTGCTTGTTTTATTTGAAAATAAACACAAATCCTATTGAAGTGTTAGTCCTTTTTCTATGTAAGTTTTTCACCACAGTCTTTTCTGTATGTTTGCCATAGTTCTTACCATGGTTTGACTCACTGTGGTTTCCATTCAGTTGAGATGTACTTTACATACTGAATTTATAGAAATATGCCCCACATCTATAAAGAAGTAGGCTCTCACTCATTTTACTTGAACATATGGCTCTCTTGGCATATGTCTCATTTTCCCACTTCAGACAGACACATGGGTATGAGAAATATTTTACTTCCCTCTTTAAGAAAAATAGCAGGGCAAGCACACAACAAGATAAAAATGGCAACCTTTTAGCCTGTCCTCAGTTTCAGGTGTCTATGAATCACACTGTAATGTAACAAAAGGCCACAGCTAATGTCTCTAATGAGGCAGTTAACACTCTGCCACTCAGCTACAGCAGCTAACTGTTGCCATATGGGTATGCTGTGACCAGATTTTCCAATTTCAAGAAAAGCCAGAAATCTGGATTTTTGTGTAAATCTGATCTTTTTCATATGGGTAACTAATAAAATTCTGAGCTAATAAAGGAGCTAATAAAAACATTGTTTTACACTGTCAGGGACCAGTTTTGTAGACCCAATAAAATGTATCTCTAAGAGAAAAGTTCCAGATTAACAACAAATTTTACATTTAACTCTCACGACCAATCCTACGACATACTTCACATCCTCATTTTACAAATAAGGAAAGAGAATCTGCAAGAAGTTACTTGCACAAAGTCATGAAATAGCACATCCTCAAAGGAGTCTAACTCCAAAGCCCAAGGTCCTAATTGGTCTTAACCGATTTTATGTATAACCGTACAGCTGATACATATAAGATGCATGTGAGGTGATAAACAAGTTCTATGCTAGCTTTCCTTACCTCCACATGAAAAAGTGATAGAACCTTGGAACCAGAAAAGACCCCGCATAGCCAGAGGAATGTTGAAAAAGAAAAGCAAAACTGGCGGCATCACAATTCCAGACTTCCAGCTCTATTACAAAGCTGTCATCATCAAGACAGTATGGTACTGGCACAAAAACAGGCACATAGATCAATGGAACAGAATAGAGAGCCCAGAAATGGACCCTCAACTCTATGGTCAACTCATCTTCGACAAAGCAGGAAAGAATGTCCAATGGAAAAAAGACAGTCTCTTCAACAAATGGTGTTGGGAAAATTGGACGGCCACATGCAGAAGAATGAAACTGGACCATTTCCTTACACCACACACAAAAATAGACTCCAAATGGTTGAAAGACCTCAATGTGAGACAGGAGTCCATCAAAATCCTAAAGGAGAACACAGGCAGCAACCTCTTCGACCTCAGCCGCAGCAACTTCTTCCTAGAAACATCGCCAAAGGCCAGGGAAGCAAGGGCAAAAATGAACTATTGGGACTTCATCAAGATAAAAAGCTTTTGCAAAGCAAAGGAAACAGTCAACAAAACCGAAAGACAACTGACAGAATGGGAGAAGATATTTGCAAATGACATATCAGATAAAGGGCTAGTATCCAAAATCTATAAAGAACTCATCAAACTCAACACCCAAAGAACAAAGAATCCAATCAAGAAATGGGCAGAAGACATGAACAGACATTTTTCCAAAGAAGACATCCAAATGGCCAACAGACACATGAAAAAGTGCTCAATATCGCTCGGCATCAGGGAAATCCAAATCAAAACCTCAATGAGATACCACCTCACACCAGTCAGAATGGCTAAAATTAACAAGTCAGGAAACGACAGATGTTGGCGGGGATGTGGAGAAAGGGGGACCCTCCTACACTGTTGGTGGGAATGCAAGCTGGTGCAGCCACTCTGGAAAACAGTATGGAGGTTCCTCAAAAAGTTGAAAATAGAGCTACCATATGATCCAGCAATTGCACTACTGGGTATTTACCCCAAAGATACAAAAGTAGGGATCCGAAGGGGTACGTGCACCCCAATGTTTATAGCAGCAATGTCCACAATAGCCAAACTGTGGAAAGAGCCAAGATGTCCATCAACAGATGAATGGATAAAGAAGATGTTGTATATATATACAATGGAATATTATGCAGCCATCAAAAGGAATGAGATCTTGCCATTTGCAACGATGTGGATGGAACTGGAGGGTATTATGCTGAGCGAAATAAGTCAAACAGAGAAAGACATGTATCATATGACCTCACTGATATGAGGAGTTCTTGATCTCAGGAAACAAACTGAGGGTTGCTGGAGTCGGGGGTGGGGGGGAGGGATGGGGTGACTGGGTGATGGACACTGGGGAGGGTATGTGCTCTGGTAAGCGCTGTGAATTGTGCAAGACTGTTGAATCTCAGATCTGTACCTCTGAAACAAATAATGCAATATATGTTAAGAAAGAAAAAAAAAGAAGAAGAAGAAGAATGTAGCAGGAGGGGAAGAATGAAGCGGGGGAAATCGGAGGGGTAGACGAACCATGAGAGACGATGGACTCTGAAAAACAAACTGAGGGTTCTAGAGGGGAGGGGGGTGGGAGGATGGGTTAGCCTGGTAATGGGTATTGAGGAGGGCACGTTCTGCATGGAGCACTGGGTGTTATGCACAAACAATGAATCATGGAACACTACATCTAAAACTAATGATGTAATGTATGGGGATTAACATAACAATAAAAAAAGAAACAAAGAAAAGAAAAAGTGATAGAACCTGAGGGTAAATAAACAGATAAAAAATGGACAAACAAGAGTGGACTGTCTGACTGATCCAGAACAGATCACGACTACATTTGGTTTCATTCTGTATTCTGTATCCCCCCTGATATTCCCCAAGATAGCATTAACCTTTTGTTACGTTAAAATGTGATTCATAGACACCTGAAACTAATATAACACTTAGGTCAACTATACTGGAATTAAAATTAAAAACTTAATAAAAATGGAAAAAAAATGTGATTCATAATGAGCTTCCTATGATTTACATAACTATAGCCAGTGTTTTTCAGAGAAAGGAAAGACTTGCTGATTTGAATAATCAGAAGAATTGGCATGCATGTATATATTTATTCATACAAATGTCTGAAAATGCTGGAGCTATACTTTAGCCTTTATTAGATTTACAGAGAAAAGGAGCTCTGAATAAAACTATTTAAAACACTATTTATTGACTTGGAGCACTTTTAGGCCTTTGTAACAACTTAGTAGGTTTTAAACTGTATTGCTAATCTGGTTCAAATCTGTTTACAACTAGTTCTCTGAGAACACATTGCAAGGTTCTCCCCAACCACTGTAACTTACGTCAGAAAGGTGCCTCTGGTGTTGACATTCATCATCAAATCCATTCTCTTTGTAGGTGTTTCCAATGTGTTGGTCAAGCTAATAGCACTTGCATTATTCACCAAAATATCAATTCCTGTTTTCAAATAATCAACTTCCCATTAATGTAATTTAAACTTTATAACAAAAAGAAAGAAAAACATTGAGTGTGTATGGCTGAACGCTAAGTTGGTTCACAAATACTTCTTTTAGGTCATAGGACTGACAATATACCAATGCAAGACTCAACAGCTGTGTCAAAACACCCAAATGATTTTCACTGGCACAACGGAGAAAGCCAATTGCCAGAGCTCCACGTGAAACTACAAGGAGGCTTAGTCCTCAGTGGTCTGTAGCTTCATTCCTATTTGTTCTCTTACCTCCCAATCTTCCCTCCTTGTCTCCAAGAACCTTAGGTTAACTTCCTTAAAGTTTTCCCTTCTCTCTAGCATCTTTCCAAGGCCCTCCTTCCAAGCTCACTAGTCTCCCTCCTAAGACCCTCACTTTAATAAAAGAGGTCCTTCCTGGTCTTGGGAACTGGGGAAAGAGAAAAGACCTAGAGTGAATTTTCAATTCTAGGCAAATCATCAAAGTATATCAAGTTTGTTTCAGTAATTCATACACAAAATTAATCTAGAATAATGATTATTTATGCACATTCTGTCCAGTCCCTCTATATGTAACATATCTGGTTTACAAGCTTAGTTATAAGTTGTAGTTACAAGTTTAGGGAAGTAATGTTAAATGAAAATAGTAAAATACAGAAGTATCTTAAACACTTCTCTGGTTCTACATGATTCAAAATTCTTTTTAAAGGGCACTTAATATTCAGTTAAATAGAACCATCCCAACTTCTACTATTGCTGGCTTAGACTGTTGCAATAGACATTTTTTGTTACCCTCTTTACTATGCCCCTCTCTCACAATATGTGGATAATGGCTTAAATAAGGCTATTATACTCACTAAAACATTTTAGTCATAAGTACCCTTTCTTCATATATAGCAGTATAAAATCTTGATCACATCCTCATTCCTCAGTTTCTATATTCTTTTGTATAAACTCTGTGTTAATAGTGTTTTCTTAAAATGTGTCCTTAGGATAACTTTGGATTCAACTATATTACATTTTATAGCTTCATTATAACAAAACTCAAGTAAATCATCCATATATCTGAGACAAGTTCTAGATCCTGTGACTACCAACCTTCTAGGATGAACATAATGATGGTTGCCTTCACAAGTAGCAAAGACCTGTGAAAAGAATTTTTAAATCTAGGGCATCCTTGTCAATCCACAAAGCTATGAGCTGCTCAGCCACATCACTGAAAGATAATCAGCGAGTGGCTATGCTACATAAGGCACTCTGCTAGGGCCTATGAGGCAAGAAAGAGGATACTCACTAAAGAAGAAGCCAGGTGGAAGCAAAGCGAACTGAATGAAGGTCTGAGTGAGATGCTGGGCTGATGGGTATATACACCACCCTGTGTAGAATCACCCTCTTCAGAGAGATGAAGCTAGTGAGGGTTGATCCAATCAATAGATTCCTTAAGCAAATTCAGAATTTATTGACTTCATCTCTCTCACTATGTGATAACAAGTGACAAGTATGTTAGCAGAGCAAACATCTGGGCCCAAAAGCAAAGAAAGTAGATGAGAAATGAGGATCTACTGACATGGTAAATTATGTTTGACTTGCCAGTGATAAAGAAAAAAATAGCTCCAATTAAGAGGTAGGTTAAAATTTCAAACTCAGATGGGCCAAATTAAAATGGATCAGGGAATAATAGTGAAAAATAATGCACAAGCAGGGGTGTGTGTGTGTGTGTGTATACATACATATATATATATACCTGCTGCAGAAAAAAAAAGTTAGCAGGAAAGAATGATTCTGTGGTTTATGAAATAACATAATTTACTCAAGGCCTGGAAAACTCTGAAGGTGAGGGAAGGCAAGGTGATAGGGAGCACCCTGTGGCAGAGAACCCTGAGGGTACAGGTTTGAAAGCATTATCAACTGCTCAGGACTTTGTTAAAGACAATTGTCCAGCAGAGAGAAATATCAGGAAAAGGTAAAGTCTTCCCAAAAGGCAGAATTCAAAGGCCTATAGAATTCCAAAACAGAAGGCCACAACAGTAGGAACCACAGTATGGAACTAAAACCAAACAAACAAAAAATAAAAGCTTGGCCTCTTTGTGGAAAAAGAGTACAGAGGGAAAGGAAAAAAAAAAAAGGAGCAGCTTATGAATCATCTCTTATAAAGGTGGCATCCTTAATAATTATGAGAGAGTGGCAGCTGAGTAGTTTAACAGAGTTCCCTCTTCATTGTGCAGTATTATGCCAGGAAAGCAGAAACTGATGGGTAAAAGTAAAGCAAAAAAACTGAAATACATCAAAGTGGTTACTAAGGAGGAGGAAAGGAAATCTTAGGAAAGACTTCAAAATAGAGGTTGCCAATCTGTAAATTTATCAAGAAGATAAAAGTGTTTCAGATGCCTCTCTCAAATAAAGCAGGGGCAGGGCCTGGGTGGTGAAGTCCTTTGAGCATCCGACTTGGTTTTGGCTGAGTCTGATCTCAGGGTTATGAGATTGAGCCTGTGTCGGGCTGTGTGCTCAGCGCAGAGTCTGCTTCAGTTTCTCTCTCCCTCTTCCTCTGTCCCTCCTCATTGTGTCCACGCGAGCACAAGCTTTCTCTCTCACTCTCAAATAAATAAATCTTAAAAAAAAGTAGCAAAATACACTGGAAGATTTTTTTTCCCCTCAAAGGTATTGAAAACATATCCTCTTAACTGAAAATTAAACTCTGTGCTCCAGTCCTTTATAACATAGTGCTTGGCATTGAAGGTTATAAGCATAAGCCATGCTAATAATAAAAGATATTGACCTTTCTTCCCATTGGTCAATATCTTTCACATGTACATACATACAGTCTCTGGAATATTATGGGGGGAGCAGGGAAGCATGGTAACGGTTTGGGCAGGATTTGGACACGGCCAGGTGCCTTGCTATAATACCATCAAAGCTTTAGCTCAACCCCTAACACCTGCCTTCTAGGAGTTTATGAACTAATTGAGGAAAAAAATACTAAGATCTAAAGTAGTACAATAGAGGCACCCGAGGGGCTCAGTTGGCTAAGTGTCCCACTCTTGATTTAGGCTCAGGTCATGATCTCAGGGTTGTGAGATCGAACTCGGTGTCAGGCTCCACACTCGGTGGGGAGTCTACTTGAGATTCTCTCCCTCTGCTCTCCCCTGCTCTATCTCTAAAATAAAATAAATCTTTAAAAAAAATTAAGTAGTACAAGGTAAGGATCAAAGGAATGTTTTGGAATTCAGAGAAAGAAAAATACACTTCTGATTAGTTGGCATGGTGAGGAAATTGGCTTCATGAGGAGATGAGATTTAACCACAGAAAGGTGGGATTTCAGGTAGGACTGGAGATGGAGAGGTGGGCACTGGAGAAGCCTCAGGATGGGGAAGAGAAAAAATTAAGAGGCAAAAACTTCAAGGCAAGGATTTGGAAGTAAACTATTTGGGGAAGAATAAAGTGTTTATATAGGGGCATAGAAAAATGATGGAACCAAAAAAAGTCTGTTGAGATCAGAATGTGAAATATCCTGAATGCCAGTAAGTTAGCTACACTTAATCCAATAAATATCAAAAGTCATCAAATGATGGCTACATCAATTGAGGAGAGGCAAGAGGATGCGATCTGGGAAACTAGTTAGATATATGTTATTGTCAAGGGCCTAACTTTATAGATGTGCTATATTATTCAAAATAACTTTTAACAATAAAAAAGCCATCAGATGGTTTTAAGCTGCATTTCTACATAAGTGAATACTCATATCTGGTTATACTCCAGAGACTCAGGAAATTTAAAAAAAAATTTTTAATTCAAATTATAGTTACAATATTCAATAATTATTTCAGAATTAAGGCACTACCTCCAAATCGCTCCACTGCTTTCTCCACTGCGTTACTGATCTGCTGTTCATCTCTCACATCAACAGTGCACGGCAAGGCCTTTCCTCCAGCTGCTTCAACTACAAAGGATGAACAAACAAAAAAGCACTGAGACATTCAAATACTAAACTTTTCATTCTGATATGAATCAAAATATGAATCAAAAGAAATAAGTACCCTATTTTCAGAAAATCAATATAAATAACTATGTTCTTATAACTACTAGTGGCTCCACCCTACAGTAGGACAGACAAACCCATACCCAGCTTCCAAGTAAAGAGACCAACTCTATTAAAAAACAAAAAAAGTGTGGGGGGGGGAGCGGGGGAGGAGCGCCTGGGTGGCTCAGTCAGTCAGTTGAGCGTCCAGCTCTTGGTTTCAGCTGGGGTCATGATCTCATGGGTCATGGGACTGAGCCCTGCTTGGGCTCGGTACTCAGCAGGGAGTCTGCTTGAGGATTCTCCCCCGCACCACCACTCTTGAGTGCACATGCATGCTCTCTCTCTAAAATAAATAAATAAATCTTTAAAAAAAAACAAAACAAAAAGGTAATTAAAAAAAATTCTATTAAAAAGCAAAAAAAGGAAGTTAATTTAAAAAACCTTCATTGTGAAAAAATTCAAGAAATAGACAAAAATATAAAGAATAGTATAATAAACTACGATGAATCTATCACCTATCTTCAATGATTGTTAATGCTCTGCCAGTTGTTTAATTTTTCTACCCCCAATCCTGTTTTTGGCTGGTGTGTATTTTAAAACAAATTTCAGGCATCATCTCATTCATAAATACCTCATATGTGTTCCCCTAACATAACCACAATGCTATTAACATGACTAACAAAACTGGCAATATTCACTGAAGTTGAATTTTAAGCCCTCCCTCCTGATATTGTGCCTAACACAATGCCTTGAATAGAAGCACTTGATAATTATTTGTGTCCTGGAAGTATAAAGATAATGAATTTCAAATGGCACAGAGAATAAATAACATGGAGAACTTTTTCAAAGTGTTCACATCATCCACCTCTCATTTCCACTCCCCCATTCTCTGCACAGATCCAAGAACCACTGCCCTCAAGAGACATGATTTTTAAGGGGAGTCTCTCATATCAGACAAAAGTGCTGGGAAAAAAAACAGTTCCTAAATCACTGCCCTAAGGTGACAAAATATCTCTTTAACCAGATAAAATTATTTTTAAGAGTAGCTTTCAAATAGCTAGAATTAAACTCTCCAGCAAATTCTCTGTGTTTTGAAACCATGGTTAAAACATTTCATGAAATGGCATCACCCCATTCACTCACTCTCTTCAGCAGCAGTAAAGATTGTGCCTGGAAGTTTGGGGTTTACATGCGTGGTCTTCGCAGCAATGACAATGTTTGCTCCATCCCTTGCTGCTTTCAATGCGATAGCTTTGCCGATGCCACGGCTTGCACCTGTGATAAAAACTGTACATCCTGCTAGCCTCCTAGAACAGAACAAATAATGACCTTATAAGAAACCTCAATGTTTTATTTACTTATTAGGAACAGGAACTTCTGCATATTTTCACAATATATATGTTTCCTCCTCTAAAATTTTCTCTAGGGACGCCTGGGTGGCTCAGTTGGTTAAGTATCTGCCTTCGGCTCAGGTCATGATCTCAGGGTCCTGGATGGAGCCCCACATCGGGCTCCCTGCTCAGCGGGGAGTGTGCTTCTCCCTCTGCCCCTCACCCCCATTCGTGCTCTCACTCTCTCTCTCTCTAACAAATAAATTAAATCTTTAAAAATAAATAAGTAAAACTTTCTCTAAACCAGGGCACCTGGGTGGCTCAGTCAGTTGAGCATCTGCCTTCAGCTTGGGTGGTGGTCTCGGGTCCTGGGATCAAGCCCAAGACGGGCTCCCTGCTTCTTCCTCTCCCTCTGCTCCGCACCCCATCCCCGCTCATGCTCTCTCTCAAATAAGTAAAATCTTTAAAAACATAAAAACAAACTTTCTCTAAACCTTCCTCCCTCCCTCCCTCCCTCCCTGAAAGCTAACAGCTCTGATACTGCCATTGCACAATGATTTATAAATTATTACAACTGCAGTTGGCCAGTCTTGCTCTGATTTGGCAAACAAAATCTGGCCAGATAAAAAGTAAACCTTTTTTTTTGGTAAAGATTTTACTCATTTATTTGAAAGACAGAATGAGTGACAGAAAGAGTTATGAGCGGGGCGGTGGGGGGTGGCGTGCAGGGGAGAAGCAGGCCCCCCTGCCGAGCAGGAAGGCCGACATGGGGCTCGAACCCAGGTCCCTGGGATCATGGCCTGAGCTGAAGGCAGTCGCTTAACCAACTGAGCCACCCAGGCACCCCCAGATAAAAAGTAAATCTTAACAAGAAATGAGGAATTAATAAACTATACACACATGTATTTTTTCCCCACAGAAAAAGTGTTAACAAAGCTTATTTTGAGTGATGCGATTATGAATAAATTTTATCACATTCTTTATATTTTTCAGGCTTTTTCAAATTTTCTACAGTGAATACATACCACTTAAAAGAAATTATCTAAAAGCAAATCATTGCATAACAGATGCTCATCATTGTTCATAATAGCCAGATTGGGAAAAATGTAAATGTCTATCAACTGATGAGTGGATAAATAAATTGCAGTATATCTATACAGTGAAATATATTCAACAATAAAAAGGAAGTACTGATCCATGCTACATGGATGAACCTTGACAACATTATGCGAAGTGAAAGAAGCCAGTCACAAAGGACCATACATTGTATGAATGCGTTTATATGAAATGTCCAGAATAGGCAAATTTATTGAGACACAAGGATAGTGGTTGCTTAGGGGTGCAGGGGTTGGAGTTGATAGCTGAGAGGTGTGGGGTCTCTTTTGAAGATGATGAAAAGGTTTTAAAATTGATTGTGGTGGGGCGCCTGGGTGGCTCAGTTGGTTAAGCATCTGACTTCTGATCTCAGCTCAGGTCTTAATCTCAGGGTTGTGAGCTCAAGCCCCATGTTGGGCTGCCTGCTGGGTATAGAGCCTACTTAAAAAAAAAAAAAAAAGCTTGTCGAAGGAGAAGGATAAAGAGAATACAGTGAAAGTGACAACAGCAAAGAGAAAAGGGGACAGTAACCAGATAAACAGACTTGTTAACAAAAAAGAACATAAGGTCTCTGCCAAGTTCTATAGGATTTACACTCCAGAAAAGGTCAGAGGTGAACATGGGGAAGGGTTTTGAAATAAGAAATAATTATTTTGGTAGGAAAGAAGGGAGTGGAGAAGAGGTGAAGAGAAACAATATTACCAACATTCCAGAAGCCACCGGTCTATTCCTCTAATTCTATCCTCCTTTCTCTCCCACCCCACAAAGTAACAACTAGTTTACATATGATTCCTCATTCCCCTGTTTTTTACTATTCCTAATACCAACACATCTATGCCTACGCCAAGGGCCAAATCTGACCCTCCATCTATTTGTGTATAGTCCTAAAGCTAAGAATAGTTTACAGATTAATATTTATGATCAATTTGAGGATAGAAAACATTTTTTTTAAGATTTTATTTATTTATTTAACAGAGAGACAGAGAGAGAACACAAGTAGGCAGAGCGGCAGCAGAGGGAGAGGGAGAAGCAGGCTCCCCGTTGAGCAGGGAGCCCGACACGGGGCTCCATCCCAGGACCCTGGCATCATGACCTGAGCTGAAGGCAGATGCTTAACGACTGAGCCACCCAGGCGCCCTGGGAACACTAATTTGGAACCCCAATGAAGCCAAACATTACCTCCCTGCTGTGTATTGAATTGTATCTACCAAAAGGATATGTTGAAGTCCTAACCTCTAGTACCTCCGAATGTGACCTTATTTGGAAACAGGATTGTTGCAGATGTCATTAGATAAGATGAGGTCATATTGGAGTCGAATGGGCCCTTAATCCAGTATGATTGAAAATGAGGAGGGAAGACTACATGGAGACCCATATACAAGAATACCATGTGATGACAAAGGCAGAGATTGGAGTGATGCAAGCTAAGAATGCCAAGGATTGCTGGATGTCACCAGAAGCTTTCTCACACTGTGGAAGAGGCAAGGAAAATTCTACCCAGAATTTTAGAGGGAGAATGGCCCAGGTGACGCCCTGATTTTAGACATCTAGCCTCCGGAACTGTGAGAGAATTAATTTATTTGTAGCCACTCAATTTGTGGTACTTTGTTATAGCAGCCCTAGGAAACTAATAAACCCTCTCTCTTTCCCCCAAGAAAGAATTTCATTCTTCTCATTGTATTGCCAAAAGATTGTACTTATTTTGAACTTCACTCATAAAAAATACTGTGGAAATTGGTTTCTCTCTGGTTATACGTATGTCTCAGGTACATGTATGTACTTATATATAATGTCATATATACATCTCATGCCTACATACTACCTCCAATTTTGCCTTTTGCCCATGAAGCCTAAAATATTTGCTATCTGGCCCTTTACAGGAAAAGCTTGCCTGGGGTGTGTGGCTGGTTCAGCCAGTAGAGCATGCAACTCTTGATCTTGGGGTCAGGAGTTCAAGCCTCATGCTGGGCATATAAATTACTTAAAAAAAAAAAAATACGGTTTAATTTTTGCTTAAATTTGAACTTTATATAATGGATTCATATAGCATGTTACTGTACGATTCGCTTTTTTCACAAAATAGTGTGGAGATTTATCCATGTTGGTGCAGATAGCTACATTTATTTTAATTAATACATAATATCTACATATGAACATACTATAAATTATTTATTCATTCTACGATGTATACATTTGGGTGATGGCTTCCAGTTTTCTTTAAGATTTTATTTATCTATTTGAGATAGAGAGAGAGTGCGCACGAGCAGTGGGGAGGGGCACAGGGAGAGGGAGAAGCTGACTCCCTGCTGGGCCGGGAGCCCAACATGGGGCTCAATCCTAGGACCCTGGAATCATGACCTGAGCCGAAGGCAGACCTTTAACCCACTGAGCCATCCAGGCATCCCTCTTTTTTTTCTATTATGAGCAATGTTGCTAAAAATATTCCTGTTCTGGGTGGCTCAGTCAGTTAAGTGTCTCCCTTTGCCTCAGCTCATGATCCCAGGATCCTGGGATCGAGTCCTGCATCAGGCTCCCTGCTCAGCGGGGAGTCTGCTTCTCCCTCTACCCCTCCCCACTGCTCATGATCTCTTTCTCTCTCACGCACTCTCTCTCTCAAATAAATGAAATCTTTGAAAAAAATATTCTTATTCACTTTTTCCAGTCACATGTGCAAGAATTTCTTTAAGGCATATATACCTGCTGGTGAAACTGCTGGATTATAGGGTACTGTTGTAGATCAAACATGGCCACAAATCCCTTGGCATTCCTTCCATCAAGAGGAAGAATGTATTTTTCCCCTCCCCTTGAGTCTGGGTTAGCTTTATGACTTTTTTTGAGCAATAGAATGTGATGGAAGTGATATTCTGAGATTTTCAACCCCATACGTAAGATGGCTGGCAGCTTCCACTGTCTCTCTCTTGTTAGCTGGATGCCATGATACAAAGTGGGACAGATTACCAAATGATGACCAGTCAAGTGAGAGAGGCCCTGGAGGGTAAGAGGCTGTCTAGGATGTTTCAGCCCCAGCCAAGGACTCAGCTAAATGCAACTGTATGAATGAACTCAACTTAGAGTATACAGAGCAGAAGAATCCAGTTAACCCACAACTGTGGATAATAAAAAAAATCACTGTTGTTTAAACCATTACGTTTTGGAGTCATTTGTTAAACGGCAACAGGTAACTGAAACACACATTGAAGTTCAGCTTTTCCAAACAATGCCAAACCTCTTTCCGAAGCAGTTAATAGTCCTACTAGCAGCAATATATGAAAGTTCCCATAGCTCCACGCTTCCCCAATACTTAATGTTAGACGTTTAAAATTTGTACCAATTTGGTAGATATGAAATGGTATCTCAGTGTTGTTTCGACTTAGATCTCCCTGATTACTTAATAAGGCTAAAAATATTTTCCTATGTTAACAGTCACGTTCTTTTTTTGTGTAATTTCTATTGTTTTGTTCATCTTAATATTCTTAATGACTCATAAATCATATATATTTAAAATTGTATAGATTAAATGTTATAAATATGTAAATGTAAATTATATACCACATATAAACTATGTAAGTATTCATATACTGGGGCACCTGTCTGGCTCTGTCAGAACAGCATGACACTCTTAATCTTGGGGTCATAAGTTCAAGCCCCACACTGGGTATAGAGATTACTAAAAATACACTTCACCAAAAACGTATTCATGTATGGGGATGCCTGGGTGGCTCAGTCAGTTATGCGTCTGCCTTCAGCTCAGGTCATGATTCCAGGGTCCTGGGATTGAGCCCCATGTTGGGCTCCCTGCTCAGTGGGGAGTCTGCTTCTCCCTCTGCCCCTCCCCCTGCTCATGCTCTCTCTCTCTTGCTCTCTCTCAAATAAATAATTGA